CTTATGCAAACTTGACATTGAGAAAGCATATGATCATGTGAATTGGAATTTCCTATTATATTTGTTACAGAGAATGGGGTTTGGAAATAAATTGAGGAAATGGATCGAGACATGTCTGAATGGAGTTTGGAAATAAATGGAGGAAATGGATCGAGACATGTCTTTCGTCTGTCAAGTTCTCTGTTCTTGTTAACGAGTCTCCTGCTGGTTTCTTTGGATGCACTCGGGGTTTAAGACAAGGAGATCCTTTGTTGTCTTTCCATTTTCTTATTGTTATGGAGGGTTTAAGCAGACTTATGCGAAGGGCAGAGGATCTTGGTCTTATTAAGGGCTTTATGGTGGGAAGAGATCTAGTCTATCAAACGGAGATCTCTCATTTACTTTTTGCAGACAACACTCTGGTTTTCTATGATGCTGATGTGTCTCAACTTAGATATTTGAGGTGCATCTTGGCCAGTTTTCAGACTGTTTCTGGTTTGAAGGTCAACCTGGCTAAAAGCGTGCTTGTCCCGGTAGGAGATGTTTGTGATATCTCCTCTTTACCTGCAGCCTTTGGGTGTACGGTGAGTTCTTTTCCCATTCCGTATTTGGGTTTGCCCATAGGGGTTTCCTCTAGGACAGTGGGGAGTTGGAACCTGTGATTAATAGGTATGCGAAGAGATTGGTAGGATGGAAGAAGCAATACTTATCTAAGGGAGGGAAAGTTACTCTTATAAAGAGCACTTTATCAAGCCTTCCCACATTTTTATCTATGTTCCAAATTCCATGCTCTGTTGCTGCTAGGATTGAAAAAATTCAAAGGAATTTCCTTTGGGGCAAAAGGGGCGAAAAGTTTAAGTATCACCATGTCAGATGGGAACAAGTTTCCAAGCCCATAAAGCTAGGTGGTCATGGTATCAGAAGATTAGCTCCCTTTAATCAGCTCTTTTGAGAAAATGGTTGTGGAGGTACGGGAAGGAAAGACATCGTCCTTGGCAAAGGTTAGTCTTATGCCGGTATGGGGAAGAGAGTGGTGGTTGGTCTACCCGTCCGGTTTCTCTCGTGGGAGGAGTTGGGGCGTGGAAATCCATTCAGAAGGGATGGGATGCTTTCTCTTCTTACATGAGATTCAAAGTTCGTGATGGCAGATGTGTTCGTTTCTGGGAGGATCTTTGGTGCGGTGACCAACCTTTATCTCGTACATTTCCCACAGTATTACAGTTGATAGACATGCCTACGTAGCTGACTGTTATCGGCTTGATAGTAGTGGCATTACGTGGGATGTGCACTTTTGGCGTTCTTTTTAGGACTGGGAGTTGGACGAGGTACGCGTTTTTCTGGATTTGTTATATCGACAGGAGGCAGTTGGTAGAGGTAGTGACGATTTGACATGGATTCCCTCTTCCCATGGTCGCTTCGAAGTTCGTTCCTTATTCTTATGTCTATCTAATTTTGATATCATTGATTTTCCGTAGAAGACTATCTCGCTTTCTATGGCTCCAACTAGGGTGGCATTCTTTGTGGACTGTTGTATGGGGTAAGATCCTGACGATAGATAATTTAAGGAAAAAGGGTAACTATTTTGTTAACTGGTGTTGCCTATGCAAACGCGATGGAGAGTCAGTTAATCATATCCTCATGCATTGCCCCGTAGCGAGTGACTGTTGGAATCTTATTTTTGGTTTGTTTGGTATAAGTTGGGTTATGCCTCGTTCTTCTAAAGACTTGGTTCACGCTTGGAGAGGATGTCGTGTGAGAAGTGGTGTACGCGATTATTGGAGAGTTGTCCCACATTGTGTATGGTGGTGCATATGGAAGGAGATGAATAGTAGAATGTTCGAAGGGAAAGAGTCGTCCACGGCGACACTGAAACTTCATATCCTTCGCTCTCTTTTTAGTTACGTGATGACTTCCTCTTCCGATGATTTAATCATTTTTTTGGATTATTCGGGGGCCTTAGACCCCGGTTCCACTTTTGTATAAGGGACGCGTTCCCCTCTTGAACTCCTTTTTATTTTATTATTACTTATCAAAAAAAAATTAATCTGAAGAAGTGTAGCTTTGTGATCCCAAGCCTAGTATTCCTCGGCTATGTGGTTTGTAGTGACAACATTCGAGTAGATGAGGAGAAGGTAAGGGCATTCGAGAGTGACCTACGCCAAAGAATGTGGGAGAAGTACGCAGTTTCTCTATGGCTTAGCCACGTTCTACCGAAGGTTCATCAAGAACTTCAGTAGTATTGTGGCTCCCATCACAGAATGCATGAAGAAAGGAAAATTCCAATGGGGAGAGGAAACTGAGATGAGTTTTGCCTTAATCAAGGAAAAACTATCAATAGCCCCAAACTTAGTCCTTCCAAATTTTGAGAAGCTATTCCAGGTGGATTGTGATGCCTCAATAGTGGGAATCGGAGCAATCTATCACAAGAAGGTAGCCCAGTAGCGTTTTACAGTGAAAAGCTGAGTGAAGCACGTGCAAGCTTTGCATACGTGGGAGCATTATCTTATCCAGCAAGAGTTCGTGCTGTTTACAGATAACCGGGCACTGAAATCCATTAACAATCAAAACAGTGTTAATCGGATGCACGCGCGATGGGCGGCTTAGATCGAGCGATTCACCTTCTCGCTAAAACACAAGTCAGGCCAACAAGACAAAGTTGCAAATGCACTAAGTCGTAGAGCAGCTTTCTCAGTGACTATGAAGGCTGAAATCACAGAATTCGAGTGCCTGAAGGAGTTATATGAGGCCGACAAAGATTTTGGCCAAGCCTGGGTAACGTGTAAAATGAGCCAATCCTTTATAGGGTTGCACATGAAGGAATGATTTCTCTTTAATGGCAATCAGTTGTGTATTCCATGAAGTTCTTTGTGAGAGCAAGTGGTTCGTGAATTGCATGGAGGAGGATTAGGAGGACATTTGGGGCGTGATAAGAAGCCAGAGCTAGTAGAAGAACGGTATTATTGGCCGCAACTCAAACGTGACGTGGAGAACTATGTGCGTCGATGCTCAATCTGCCAAACTAATAAAGGTGAATCTCATAATACTGGTCATTACGCACTGCTGTCTATTCCAGCTGCTCCATGGGAGGATTTATCCATGGATTTTGTTCTCTGAGGACGCAGCAAGGAGCAGACTCTGTTTTTGTGGTGGTCGTTCGATTTTTCAAGATGTCCCATTTTATTGCATACAAGAAGATGAACGATGCAATCCAAATGGCCAATCTGTTCTTTAAGGAGGTGGTTCGTTTACATGGGGTGCCACAGTCCATTACCTCAAGTCGTGACACCAAGTTCTTGTCTCACTTCTGGCAGACTTTATGGAAGAGATTCGATACCACTCTTAATTTCAGTAGCACCAGTTACCCCAGACTGATGGCCAAACAGAGGTGATGAATAGAACCCTTGGAAATCTAATTCGCTGTATTTTAGGAGAGAAACCAAAACAGTGGGATCTTGCTCTTGCCCAAGCAAAATTTGCTTACAATTGCATGCTAACAGGTCCACTGGCCTGTTTACGGTTGTGTATTGCTGTCCTCCAAAAGTTGCTTTGGATTTGGTATCCTTACCGAAGTTGCCGGGGAAAAGTGTTGCTACAGAGAAAATGGTTGAGCACATTAAGACCATTCAGGAGAGGGTCAAGAAACATCTAGAGGAAACTTACGCCAAATACAAGGATGTAGCTGACAAGAGACGAAGGAAAAGAGTATTAGAAGAAGGGGACCTAGTTATGGTGTATCTAAGAAAAGAGAGGTTTCTTGTGGGAGCATACAACAAGTTGAAGGCCAAGAAATATAGTCCGTACCAGATTCTACAGAAAATCAATGAAAACGCCTATGTGATTGATTTACCAGACATCGCCATTTCTTCTAGCTTTGGGTAACTCGGGGACGAGTTCTTTTTACGCAGGGGAGACTGATGTGGAACAGCTCGCTCACGATTATATGAGAGACAAGATCATCGCAAATCAAGGATGCTGAAAAGGTAAGGCGAATAGAAGAAAAAACTAAATAAATAAGAAAAAGTCAAAAGGAGATTTGATGTAGTTGCCAACAATAGAAGATATTATTCTCCATTGCAAGAATTAAGGAGGATTCAGAAAATAAATAAGAAAATTTGGTGTAGTTGCCAACAATAGAAGATTTTATTCTCCATTGCAAGATTTAAGGAGGATTCTACTCCATCAAATCTCAGATTTCCCCTTTAATATTATTTCACGCATGCTTTCTTTTTTTTCTTTTTTTTCTTTTTTTGCTTGCCTATATAAAGGCAAGAGATGTAAGTCTGCCGAGTGCAGACATCATCATTATCAATATAATTTCAGTTTCTCTCGTGAGTGTGTTCTTTGTGAATTCAAGGGTTTAACCCTGTTCTTTATCATTTCCACTATGTTATTTTCTCCTTTCATTACCCTCTGTCTCTATTCTCTAAAGTCAACCCTTGATACAAAATGGCCGTTGTGTCAAACACAAGTAAACATGCTCCAGAGCTATAGCAAATTAACATGAAAATGGTCTTTTTTGTTCTCCATTCCCTTATCTTTCATTGTAGCTTTATCTTGCTGATAAACCAATTTGATGTGCAATAGACTGCAACAAGCATTATACTGTTACAAGTCATTGCCCACTAACAAGCATCCAATAGCATGGTCTTTTTTAATGTTATTTTTACTTATCAAAAAAAAAAATTAGCAACAAAGTTACCAATTACTGAGGCTTGGTGCAGAGTTCAAAAACGAAACATTTTCTGTTTCTCATTTACTCCTATCCAAAAATTTGATTATTTTATTACTGAATAATAATAACAAAAGAAAAAGAACAAATGCAAGAATACTCCACAAAATGTAAGGAGACTGTAGGACTATTAGAAAATAATCAATTTGCATCTACATGTAATTCATGCTTCAAATCATGTAATAAACAACAATAGGTTAAAAAAGCTTCAAAACAACCAAAATAAAGCAGATCTCAAAAACAGAACTCTGCTTTGAAGCGTACAGGATTGAGGCCCAAAGAATATTCGCACCTGAAATGTAATCGAAGCAACCATCCTCATCTTGAGAAAAACAATACCCATTTGAATGCAAACGGCAACCACCCAACTTCTTTCCGTTGTTAGATTTTCTATTTACTGAATTGTAAAGAACTTAAAAATTAGAAGCAGGTAAAATTTAAGAAAACTTGCAAATGCTTTACATATTAGGAGACCTTTCATACCGTTGCTGGCATTGTCTGCTTGCTTTGTGTCAACCACCTGCTTCAACTTGTAACCAAGGCGAATTGATAATGTACTTAACAAGGCACCACCTGCAATAAATAACCAATTTGGCCCCTCCACCTGAGAATTTTTTGACCTCTGTGGTCTAGGTACCCCATGGGTTCTTGGTTTCATTTTGAAAACTAATGAAGTGTCGGACGGAAAATTTTGGAAGCATCCAAATGTGACCTGCATTAAAAATGCACCATGAAACCAGTAATTCCAAACTCACAAACATACTAGGTGAAACGGCATAAGAAAAGAGGCATAATTACAGAATGTAATATGTAGTAAAAACTGTCAAATGATTATATCCATAACTGAAGGGAATCATAAATTAAAAACAACCAAATTAGGGATTTGCAAAGCTCAAATGTCAATTCCAACTGATAATTAGTGGCAAATTTCATTCATCATCATCATCATCCTTGCCTTAGTCCCAAATGAATGAGGTCGGCCACATGAATTCTCTCTCTCCAACCTTTTCTATAACAAGCCATTTCACCTACTATATTTAGCTTTTAAAGTCATTTTTAATAATCTCATCCCAAGCTATTTTTGGTCGCCATCTCCGTTTCTTACCTTCTATTACAACTAGCCAACCTCGTTTGACTACCTCGTCTCTAGGTGTTTGATGTATGTGTCCAAACCATCTACGTCTACTCCCTCTAATTTTATAATCAATGGGTGTTACACCTAATTTTTCTCACACTTTCATTAGTGACCCTATCTCTTCTAGTCACTCCACTCCTCCATCTTAATATTCTCATTTCTGCTACATGAAGGCATTGTTCTTCTTGTTTTTTTTAGGGCCCAATACTCCGCTCCATACAACATAGTTGGTTTAATAACGGTCCTTGAGAATTTTCTTTTAGCCTATGTGTGATTTTATTATCACATAAAATCCCTCTAGCTTGTCTCCATTTTTCCAACCGGCTCCAATCATACTAGTTATATTGCTATCTATCTCTCTATTCTATTGTATTGTTGATCCTAGATAACAAAAGTGGTCGTTTTGAGTAATTTTTTAATTTTGAAGTGTTATCATTAAATCATCAATGTCCGAATCTTTATTGAATTTACACTCCATGTACTGGGTTATAGTTCAACTAATTCTCAATCCATGCGATTCTAAAGCATTTCTCCATATTTCTAGTTTTATTGCTAAGTTGTCTTTAGAGATATTCAAGAGCACAATATCATCAGCAAACATCATGCACTATGGGATCTCATTTTGGAATTCTTTTGTTATCTCATCTAAGATTACCGTAAATAAATATGGGCTTAACACCGAACACTGGTGCAATCCTGCATTTACTGAAAACTCACAAATGTCACCACGTGGTACGAACTTTGTGTGTTTATATACATATCTTCAATATTTTTTATGATTGGTAAGGGAATTTGTTTTCTTTCTAGGGTCCACCAAATTATAGCTCAAACCCTCCATGACTATAAGAAATAGAAAAGACGACAAGGGATCTCCTTGTCTCAAGCCTCGAGAGCTCGGAAAGAAACCAGCAGGAGATCCGTTCACAAGAACAAAGAACATGACGAACGAAATACATCTTTCGATCCATTTCCTCCACCTATTTCTGAACGCCATCCTCTTAAGCAAGTAAAGAAGGAACTTCCAGTTGACGTGATCATAAGCTTTCTTAATATCAAGTTTGCATTAGACACCAGGGACCCCACTCTTCAACCTGGAGTCTACACATTCCCCTACTATAAGACCAGAATCCAAGATCTGTCGTCCTCCAACAAAAGCATTCTGGGACTCCGAAATAATTCCATCCAATACATTACTCATCCTATGAACAAGAACCTTGGCAATAAGCTTGTACATGCATCCCACTAAGCTAAATGGCTGAAAGTCCTTAATATTAGAAGAGCCGCCCTTCAATAAGGGCAATAAAAGATGCGTTTAATGACTTCTCAAACATGCCATGAGAATGAAATTCCTGGAAGGTGCCCATCACCTCACTGTGCACCACCTCCCAACTCTCCATAAGAAACCACATGGTAAACCCATCTGGCCCCGGAGCTTTATCACCATTGCAACTCGATAGAGCCTTCCGCACTTTCCTCTTCAGAGAATGGGACATCAAGCCTGTCTCTATCCAGCTCAGAAAAGGCATCAAAGTGGAGACCATAAAGCTTAGGTCTCCACCCCAACATCTCAGTGTAAAGCTGCTGGTAAAAAAAGAAAATCCCCCTGCGCACCTCATCCTCTCTCCACAACTCTGCGAACCATTCACATGAATACGCCCAACATGATTACACCTTCTAGAAGCATTAGCAAGCTTGTGAAAGAATTTCGTATTGCGGTCCCCTTCTTTAAGCCACAAAGCCCGAGATTTCTGATGCCACGAAATCTCCTCCATAGTCGCGATCTCAGCAAAAATCGCCTAACAAGAGGCTCTCTAAGAGCGCAAAGACTCCACATCCTATCCCAACTCTTCAAGACGATTAAGCTCAGCGATATCAGCGAGAACTCTATTCTTCTTCCATTCAAGGTTCCCGAACACCTCCTTGTTTCACCACTTAAGCTCAGTTTTGAGAATTTGAAACTTCCTAGCTAATACAAAGCTAGAGAAACCTGTAACCATCGCCTCCTCCCACCAAGACTAGACTTCCCCTTGGAAATCCTCTGATTTCAACCACATATCACCAATTTCCATATTATAAAGATATTAAAATATACAGGGTAAATTTGTACCACTACTTTCTCACTGGTGAAACAACTACTCTTTGTGGGACAAATGAAGGATGATTATACTGCTATCCTTTGCTTTAAGAGTTTGAATAGGTACTAGGTTCAAGACAAATATCATCAAGCAAAAGTGCTTTAGGTTGGCAAAGAGGATGGCCAATCTTTTGCCTTCAAAATTAGGGTTATGAGATACCACATACTAGATTCTTCATCCAAAACCAACACTTCATGATTTAAGTATGAAGTGCTTTAGAACAAGGTTGGTGGAGTTGAAGCAGCTCTAAAGGAAAAACTAACTCTCAGTTTTGGACCTTCTTTTGAAATTATTAGCATTTTTTTTTTCTTTTTAACAAGTAAAATTCATTAAATGGCACTCAAAAAGGAGCGCATCCCAAAAACAACTACACAAGGACCAACAAGACCAATTGAAGATAATATGATGTTGTCTCCACCTCAGATTGTCGATCATCAAGATCCTCCCCAGCTTCATTATCCATCCAACAAAAATCCACCTAAAGAGATGCCTTGGTGCACCACACTACGTTTCGAGGAAAAAGAGGCCCCTAAGTATCCACTAACCTCTAATAAAAAAACGTAGCGGAAACGATAAACAACAGGGTTAAACCCTTGAATTCACAAAGAACACACTCACAAGAGAGAAACTGAAATTATATTGATTACGACAATGTCTGTACACTTACATCTCTTGCCTTTATATAGGCAAGTCAAAAATAAAATAAAAAAAGAAAGCATGCGTGAAATAATATTAAAGGGGAAATTTGAGATTTTATGGAGTAGAATCCTCCTTAAATCTTGCAATGGAGAATAATATCTTCTATTATTGGCAACTACACTAAATCTTCTTATTTATTTTATGAATCCTCCTTAACTCTTGCAATGGAGAATAATATCTTCTATTGCTGGCAACTACACCAAATCTCCTTTTGACTTTTCCTTATTTATTTATTTATTGTCTTCTATTCTCCTTACCTTTTCAGCCTCCCTAATTTGCGATGATCCTGTATGCTTTAGTAAACATGAGCGAGCTGTTCTACATCAGTCTCCCCTACAAAAAAAGAACTCGTCCCCAAATTACACGAATCTGGCGGATAATATTCATGTATCTCAGCCACATTGAAGGTAGAAGAAATGGCCATGTCAGCGGGTAAATCAATCACATAGGCGTTGTCGTTGATTTTCTTTAGAATTTGGTACGGGCCATATTTCTTGGCCGTTAGCTTGTTGTATGTTCCCACTGGAAATCTCTCTTTTCTTAGATACACCAAAACCAGGTCCCCTTCTTCAAATACTCTTTTCCTTCGTCTCTTATCAGCTGCGGCCTTGTGTTTGGTGTAAGTTTCCTCTGGATGTTTCTTGACACTCTCCTGAATGGTCTTAATGTGCTCAGCCATTTTCTTTGCAGCAACACTCTTCCTTGGCAACTTCGACAAGGATATCAAATCCAAAGCAACTTTTGGAGGACAACAATACACAACAGCAAATGGGGATTTGCCAGTGGACTCGTTAACCATGCAATTGTAAGCAAATTCTGCCTGGGCAATAACAAGATCCCACTATTTTAGTTTCTCTCCTAAAATACAGCAAATTAGATTTCCAAGGGACCTATTCACCACCTCTGTTTGGCCATCAGTCTGGGGTGACTGGTGCTACTAAAATTAAGAGAGGTATCGAATCTCTTTCGTAAAGTCCGCCAAAAGTGAGACAAGAACTTGGGGTCATGATCTGAGGTAATGGACTGTGGCATCCCATGTAAACGAACCACCTCCATAAAGAAAAGATTGGCCATTTGGACTGTATCATTCGTCTTCTTGCATGCAATAAAATGGGACATCTTGGAAAATCGATCGACCACCACAAAAACAGAGTATGCTCCTCGTTGCGTCCTCAGCAACCCTAGAACAAAATCCATGGATAAATCCTCCCATAGAGCATCTGGAATAGGCAGCGGTGTGTAAAGACCAGTATTATGAGATTGGCCTTTATTAGTTTGGCAGATTGAGCACCGCCGCACATACTTCTCCACGTCACGCTTGAGTTGCGGCCAATAATATCGTTCTTCTACCAGCTCTCGCGCCTTATCACCCCCAAATGTCCTCCTAATCCTCCTCCATGCAATTCACGAACCATTTGCTCCCGCAAAGAGCTCTGTGGAATACACAACTGATTGCCATTAAAGAGAAATCCTACCTGCATGTGCAACCCCTTAAAGGATTGGCTCGTTTTATAAGCTACCCAGGCTTGGCAAAAGTCTTCGTCAGCCTCGTAAAACTCCTTCAGGCACTCGAACCCTGTGATTTCAACCCTCATAGTCACTAAGAAAGCTGCTCTCCGACTTAGTACACCTACAACTTTGATCTATTGGCCTGACTTGTGTTTAGCGAGAAGGTGAATCGCTGGATACAAGCCACCCATCGCGCATGCATCCGATTAACACTGTTTTGATTGTTAATGGATTTCAGTGCCTGGTGATCTGTAGACAACATGAACTCTCGCTAGATAAGATAATGCTCCCATGTATGCAAAGCTTGCACCACCACATAGAATTCCAACTCATAGGTAGTCCACTTCTTACGTGCTTCACTCAGCTTCTCACTGTAAAACGCTACTGGCCTTCCTTCTTGTGATAGAACTGCTCCGATTCCCACTATAAAGGCATCACAATCTACCTGAAATAGCTTCTCAAAATCTGGAAGGACTACGATTGGGGTTGTTGACAGTTTTTCCTTAATTAAGGCAAAACTTATCTTAGCTTCCCTCTCCCAATTGGAATTTTCCTTTCTTCATGCATTCTGTGATGGGAGCCACAATACTACTGAAATTCTTGATGAACTTTCGGTAGAACGTGGCTAAGCCATGGAAACTGCATACTTCTCCCACATTCTTCGGCGTATACCACTCCCAAATGGCCCTCACCTACTCCTCATCTACCCGAATGCCATCACTAAAAACCACATAGCCAAGGAATACTAGACTTGGGGTCACAAAGCTACACTTCTTCAGATTAATGAACAATTTATTCTTCTGAAAAGCGGTTAATACCTCTCTCAAGTGCAAAAGGTGTTCTGCCTATGTTTCACTTTGACTATAAACCAGAATATCGTCGAAATAAACAACTACAAATTGACCAATAAATGGTTTGAGTACCTGATTTATCAACCGCATGAAAGTAATTGGCGCGTTGGATAATCCGAATGGCATGACTAACCACTCGTACAGTCCTCCTTTTGTCTTGAATGCCGTTTTCCACTCATCCGCAAGGCAGATTCTGATCTGATGGTATCCACTCTTGAGGTCCACTTTGGTGAAGACTTTCGATCCCGCCAACATATCCAGCATATCCTCCAACCGTGGAATGGGAAATCTTTACTTGACAGTGCACATTCTCCAACTACCATCTTTCTTCGGTACTAGCAAGGCCGAAACAGCACATGGGCTCATGCTCTCCTGAATCAACCCTTTCTGTAGTAACTCTTTCACTTGCTCTCGTAAGATCTGACTCTCATTTGGACTCCATTCCGTAATGTGGTAGATTTGAAAGGCTCGCCCCGAGCACCAAGTCAATGTGGTGCTGAATGTCCCTCATGGGAGGGAGACTATCAGGCAAGTCTTCCGGCACCAACTCACTAAACTCCTGCAGTAATGGCTGTACTATTGCCAGTACTGTAAAAGGAGGTTGTTCAACTACTTCCCCCTTGCACATAACAGCAAAGATTTCAGGGGTAATTGTTATTTCGGCCATAAATTCCTAACTGTTGATCAACATAACTGAATTTCCCTTGGGAAATTCGGCTTCTTTCAGCGGACCCAAAATAATCTTTTGACCATTCTTGTATAGAATATACACATTGTCTCTACCACGGTGAGTGGCATCGACATCAAATTGCCATGGTCTGCCCAATATCATATGGCATGCATCAATGTCGACTACATCACAACGCAACTCCTCTGCATATGGTTTCCCAATTGAGAATGGAATGGTGCAGGTTTCAATTACTCGTGTTTCTGAGCCTTTCTTGATCCATCCAATTTTGTATGGATGGAGATGTTTCTCTGTTTTAAGCCCCAATTTTTGAACCATTGTTAAGGAAACAATGTTCTCACTACTGCCGCTATCAATAATAATGTCACATACCTTATGGTTGACAGTGCAACGTGTACGGAACACATTATTATGCTGCGGGTGCTCCTCCTTCTTTGGCGTGAACATCAACCTCCTCACGACTAAAGAGTGGGGCAACAACTCGCCATTGTCTCCTTCAGTCACCTCTTCTTCTTCAAAGGTAAGGAACTCACCTTCCTCACCCTCGCCTTCCTCATGCTCGACCAGATTTTCTATCAATTACTTGGGGCAATTGTTGGATTTATAGCCAGGTTCTCCACATCGAAAACACTTGCCCATACTTGGGTGTGCATAGGGATTTTCTCTTACAGCTGGGGCTCCCCTTCCAACAGGGCCTATGGGTGCTACGGGTTTGGCATTTGTTAGACCATCTCCAATGCCTTGCCATGTCATTGGAACAGGGGCTACGCGGTCTGTTTACCCATGTCATGTGTAGGACGCAGGGTATTATATGAACTACGAGATCGATTCTTTGACTTCTCCAGTAACGATTCTGCTCTCTCTGCCGCCGTGACAATCTCAGACAGTTT